GGACAGGACAAGAAAAGAATTGGACGAGCTGGGGGATGGTGGGCAGGTTGTGTCCACGCCTTTGTGTGAATCAATGCCTGAGGTTGTCATAGGTCCTAATGAAGACAGGCAGAGTGGTCAGATGCCACCCTGACTGTCACAATGATCCCACTTCAGGAATTTTCTTTGAGTATTCAGGGAATCTATCTAGAGACCTGAGTATCTCATGTATATGTACCTCTGGTCCAGGGGGAATTTCTGCCTGGTATTCTACTCTTAAATCCATCATTCTGCTTTACAACTTTTGTGATACACACCAAACAACCAGGCTCAAGAGCAATGCGGTTAGACAAAAGCACACCAACCCTGCTTTGCTGTTTCCCTTCACCCCAGGTAAAAGCCCTCTTGCTCTAGAACCTTCTTCTTCCTCTCTTATCTGCAGGCTGAAGGTCTCCAAGTTCTGTAGCCCACAGGCGTCTCCTGGCAGCTTAAACAACCACTGAGATCTGTGCCTTATGCACAGAATCTGATCTCAAAGCCCAGACACTAGGGCTTTTGGTGACTCTAATATGCAACCATGGTGAAAACCTCTGCTCTCAGTGCTAGGCTGCAAGTAGATACTCTGCATCCAGATTCTTGCTTCACTTGTTTGCCAAGGGAAACAGATGACAAGGGAAGGTAGACTCTGAATTGATTAGAGTTGGAAGGCCCTTGCTGTGCTGGCAGACAAAAAGGTAGGAGCAAAAGTCCTCGTCCTGCAAACCCAAATGTCATCACTTCCAGGACATTTCTGAACTTTTAGCAAGGTGTAAAAATGACTAATTTTTATTTTTTTTTTTTTGTTTTTGAAACTAATCCAACACCCTTTCATGATAAAAGCTCCAGAGAAAGTAGAACATAAGTATTGTTCCTCAACATAATAAAGGCTATATACATGACAAACCTAGAGCCAGCATCGTACTAAATGGAGAACAAATGAATCCATTCCCATTCAAGTCAAGAATAAGGACACAGCTGTCTTCTTTCTCCAATTCAATTCAATATAGTTTTGGAATTCCTACCAAGAGTAATAAGACAAGCGAAAGAAATAAAATGGATTCAAATACAGAAGGAAAAAGTCCAACTATCCCTATTTGCAGATGACATGATCCCATACTTAAGAGACCCTAAAATCTCTACTGAAAAACTAATAGAAATCATAATTTCTTTCTGTAAAGTAGCAGGATACAAAACTAACACAGAAATCAGTAGCCTTCCTATATATCAACAATGAATAGCCTGAGAATGAAATCAGGGAAATAATCCCATTAGCAATAGCCTGAAAAACAATAAAGTACCTTGGAACAAATTTAACGAAAGAAACCAAAGAATTCTTTAATGAGAACTTTAAACCACTGGAGAGAGAAATCAAAGAAGGCATCAGAAGATGGAAAGTCCTTCCATGCTTTTAGGTTTAGAATCAACATTGTAAAATGTCCATACTACCAACAGCAATTTACATGCCTGACAAATTCCCTATCAAAATTCCAGTGACATTCTGCAGAGAAATAGAAATGTCAATCTTGAAATATATATAGAAACACAAAAGACCTCAAAAAGCCAAAGCAATTCTGAACAAAAAGTCCAATTCTGGAAGCATCACAATAAGTAACTTCAAATTATACTACAGAGCCACAACAACAAAAACTAGATGGTATTGACACAAAGACAGACAGGAAGACCAATAGTTCAGAATAAAAGACCCAGACATAAACTCACATAGCTATAGCCAACTGAACTTCAACAAAGGAGCCCAAACACACGATGGAGAAAAGACAGCCTCTTCAACAAATGCTGCTGGGAAAACTGGATATCCACATGTAGAAGACTGAAACTAGATCCCTGTCCTTTACCTTGTACCAAAATCAACTCAAAGTAGGTCAAAGACCATAATAAAAGTTCTGAAACTGTGAAACAACTCCAGGAAGCAGTAGAAAACACACTGGATTAGATATGTATAGATAATGACTCCCTAAACAGAACTCAAAAGGCTCAGCATCTAAGAGAAAGAATAAACAAAGTGGACTGCATCAAACTAAAGAGCTCTTGCACAGCAAAGGAACCAGTCACCAGACACAGAGACAGCCCATAGAATGGGAAAAAAATCTTTGCCAGGTACTCATCTGATAAACGACTAACATATAGAATCTATAGGGAACACAAAAAACTCAATTCCCAAAAAATCAACACTTCAATGTAGAAATGGGTACATGACCTATACAGGGAATTCTCAAAGGAAGAGGTACAGATGGCCAAAGAACTGTTCAACTTCCCTGGCTATAAAAGAGATGCAAATCAAAACAACACTTAGATTTCATCTTACCACGTTATAATGGCCATAATCATAAGGGCAATAATAACAACAAATGCTGGCAGGGATGTGGCAAAACAGGAACCCTTATACACTGCTGGTGGGAATGCAAATTAATACAACCTTTGAAAACATGGAGATTCCTCAAAAAGCTAAAAACAGAACTTCCATATGATCCAGTGATACCACTTCTGGGCATCTACTCAGAGGAACGTAAGACAGGACACAATAGAGACACTTGGACACCAACGGTCATCACAGCACTATTCACGATAGCCAAGTTTTGGAAACAACCCAGGTGCTGGATCAAGAAAATGGATGACTGGATCAAGAAAATGTGGTATATATACAAAATAAGTATTACTCAGCTATAAAGAATAATGACGTGGTTTGAAGTTAAATGGATGCTATTGGAGGATTCCATGTTAAGTGAAGAAAGTCACGTTCAGAAATACAAAGCCACATGTCTTTTCTCATACGTGGAATATCCAAAGATACACATATGCACAAAAATAAGTGTGCTCATATACAAACTCAGACATAAGAACAATTTTGTAATATTGCAACTACTTTATGGAACTCAGGGAAAGAGGAAAAAGAAAAAGAGAATGGTAGAGCATCAGTAATATCATATGCCATAAAATGTGACAGTAGAGGATACAAGGATGTGTACTGAAAGATGTTGAAATATGGGGGGTAGGAGGTGCAGGGGTAAGGGAGAATAATAGAAGGGGTTAAATGGACTGAAGTAAAGTACACCCACAGTGGGCATACATTAAGACACCCCTTTGAACGTCAACTTAAATATTAAAAATGAAAAACAGGACTGTAAAATAAGTACAGTGTGTGTGCATGGAGGGTACTAGCAGGAGGGGGAGGGTAAATGGAGGAGATTAAGGTTAGGGTATATGGTTGATGGACTTCATACACCTATATGAAACAGAACTAAGAATTCTCTTTCAATTGTTTTTAGTGGGATGGGGAGTGTGTATTGGGGAGAGACGATGAGGGCAGTGTAAATAACATACAATATAGTTCTAATTGGAAATGTCACTTTGAGACTCCCTGTATAATGAATATATCATAATAAAAATGTATTAAAAATGACTAAATCTTAAAGTGAGAATATAGCATACTCACTTAAATTTGGCTAACCAGAGCTCAATTAGACTAGGAGAAATAAACCAAAGGGTAATTGTGACACAGTCATTAGAGAAAACTTGAAAGTACCTTGGAGTCAGCTGGAGACCCTGTCAAAGCAGAATATGGGCTTCAACCCCTAGCCTTTCTTATTTAGTAGCTGTTGGCAGGGCCAAGTCCTTTCCTAACACGTTCCTGGGTTGTTGATGTGGCTGGTTAAGGGAGCACATTTTGACAACCAATTCATTGTTAAGCGAGCCCCATGATGAAATGACATTTCCCATTGTTGAGAGCTATAATACCAAACTGAAGGAACCAAAAACATCCCAGCCAAAATTGAGGTATTACTTCCAAAATAACATTATGGGATAGTTTATAACACTTAAAAATAGAATGTATTTTTTCCACTGCTCTCTTCTTTCAGTGTTTGCTTCAAGGATTGGGCTTTGAGGTACCATGGTATTTGATTAAATGACAGATGTAACCTTGGCCTCCCCCGAAATTCATGCAGTGTCCAGCAATGCTTTGCTTATTTTTTGAGCAATAATCAATGTACCTGGATGAAGAATTCTATCAAATCAATAAATACCTTGGGGATCCTTAGATTGTGAGGAGAGTCATGTCAGGGATTGTAAATACCAAAACATTTCAGTGAGGCAGTGTTGGCAGATAGCTTTGCTAAAAGCCTAGTAAAGGTGGCTGAAAGTCTACAGAACATTAGGAAAGCAAGAAAACAAAGTTCATTCTTCACAGTCTATGCATTTTGTTTAACCCTGGAGTGAATTCAGTTTACTAAAGCAACCCAGAAACTATAACAAGATGGCAGTGATGGGGTGGGGGTGGGAAGCAAAAACATAATTTTTGAAGGCAGTTGATCCTGGTTTAAGAGCACTGAGCGAGGACCCTGGCATGCCAACTTAGATAGGAGGGCAGCGCCTGAATGGCTTTTTTTTCTGCTGTCTGCTGTTTTAGTGGTGCTCAAAAGCCAGGCATTACAATGATACTAGTGAACTCCTAGTCAGATACTTTTGTCTTCTGGTTTTGTTTGTGTTTTGTTTTAGAATGGGTGTTTTAATGCTTGATTACAGAGATAAGACCAAAATCTCAGGAGAACAGAAAAGATCACACTTTTCCCCAATTGTGTTTTTATCCAAAACAAATCACGTGGATTCTAAGATTCCACATTCACCACTCAGTTGAAGATTTACCAACTTTCCAGAGTTCTTTATCTATGTGCCTCTGGCTTTAATGCAAGGAAAACACAATTTTTCTGTCTGTCTGCAGTGTTAGATTTTTACCTGGGAATTGCTGACCTTCATTTCAACAAGAAAAACATAACCTTACAAAGACGTCAAACTAAGTTTTCTTTATAAAATAAGAACCCCCAGTCTAGATTTCAAAAGCATGACTCTGATGATGACTTTGATGGTGACAGCATTGGGAGTATACCCAGGGACCTCACACTCCCTAGGTGAGCCTTCTGCCTCTGAGCCATGCCCCAGGCCCTCGGACTTTGACTGGCCCCACTCACTTGCTGATGATGAGGGTTTCCTCTCCACTTATCCAGACTCTCATGAACTCTCCGTACATCTTGTTATAGTAGTTGCAGGCACTGCCGATCCCCATCCACAGGAATCTGCTGTGGGAAATGATGGGTCCAATTCCCAGACAGTAGGCAGGACCTAGCACAAGTCATCAGGACATGGTCAGTACTGTAACGATACCAAGGACACTTGTTTTTTAGTTAAGTGTTCCTCACATCTTCTGATGTCTGTCTGCGCACCATTAACACAATGGTTTGAAAGAGAGCAAGTTGACAATGAGACTCTTGACACACACCCCTCTAGAGGGAAAGGAACATTGGTATCCATATCACACACGTTCACACAAGTCGGTCTCACTCATCTCAGTCTCAATGACCTAGGGGCTCTGTCCTCACCTTCTAAGTCAAACCGTGTCATGAGTTTCAAACATAAGTCAGTTGATCTGTCTGGTAGCAAGTGTGGAAGTCACAAGAGGTGACATTTGTTGCCCTTAACGCGGAGAAACTAAAGCAGATACCTTAAAAGCAACTGAGGCCAATAGTAAAAGGGGTCCAGAAACTAGAGAAAAGGTTAGATCAAAAAGAATTAACCTAGAAGGTAACACACATGCACAGGAAATTAATGTGAGTCAACTCCCTGTATAGCTATCCTTATCTCAACCAGCAAAAATCCTTGCTCCTTCCTATTATTGCTTATACTCTCTCTTCAACAAAATTAGAAAAATTAGAAAAATTAGAAATAAGGGGAAAATAGTTTCTGTAGGGTATTGGGGGGGTGGGGGGAGAGGGAAGGGGCAGAGTGGGTAGTAAGGGAGGGGGTGGGGGCAGGGGGGAGAAATGACCCAAGCCTTGTATGCACATATGAATAATAAAATAATAATAAAAAAAGAGGACAAGATGACAGAATTGCTGGATTGGTTTGAACATCCACTTGCCTGGGTTGCATTCTAGAGTAATTCTTCCATCTGAGAGGAGCAGGGTCTGCAGAGATAGTCTAAGAGCATTCACTTCCTTTTTTCCTCTTTCAAAGATGACTCAGTTTAAGAAAAGAACCTTATGCAAAATCTCATGAGACAAAATAAAGCTAGGAATTGAGGCACTGGGCAACTCGTCTACTCAGTGTCTAGACTACAATTTGAGTCCCATGATCTTGTTTTAGATGACAGCAATGGTTACTCACAATTGCTTGTGTAAATGATGGCTGAACTGCAAAGAACATGAATGCAGAGAACTGGGGAACCTGATGTTGCTTACATCAGAGAACAAACTTAGTAGCTTGATTTTTCTTGTTCTCGTTTTTCTTGTTCTTTGAGACTAGGTCTAGCTCTGTACCCCATGGAACTCATGGTGCTCCTGCTTCAGCCTCTTAATTACAGATGGGTGCCACCATGCACAGCATGGTAACTTGATTGTACTGGTGGTAGGGAAAAAAAGGTAGATTTAAAAATCTGAATACTTTCAGGAATTGTATTATAAAGTAATAGTTTTTCTAAATTTTTAAAAATTTCCATTCTGTCAGTGAAAGCATTATGAAGCAAAACACAAGCCTAACTGCTTCACCCCAAAGAAAGAACTGGGTGAGAATGTGGATGATCTTAGCTTTCACAAGATCCATCTGGACTGGGTGTTTACCCACCCCAGTTCAGCAACAAGTGTTTAGCCTTTTGCTCTGCAATAGCTGGTTTACCATCAGTATTTTTTTGCTTTACAGAGAACTTGGTTAGTGTCTGTAGAACTGAAATATTGCCAAAACACTTTTCCAGGTATTGATAGCTTAGCACATTATAGAGGCTCAGTAATGTTTCCTGAATGAATTTTTAAGTTAATTAGGAATATGCATATAATAGAAAGAATGAAGTTTTAAGTGCTGTTGTTATTCTGGGTATTTTAGGTTGTATTCACACTTTGATTGAAAAATCTGTAATATCATGTAACATACATTTAGTCCACATGTGGCCAAAAATGACTTACCTGAAAATAGACTTATTGAACAAATATTTACTTAATATGAAAGCCCCTGAGAAGCAAAGACATACAATAAAAAGCTAAAGCTGCACTTTTCATCTTTTACCTAAAAGTTTGGTACCATATAGAAAATCTTAGCATTTGCAAACCAACATTGAAAGTTAAAATATGATAGTCAGCCTGTTGTGGGGCACGCCCCTCTACACCCAGCTCACTGGAAAGCTGAGGTGGAAGGATCACTTGTGCTCTGGGCTATAGAGTGAGGCCTCACAGAGAAAAAATGTTATAAAACATACAAATAGTCAAAATGAAAACATCAAGAAAATAAGATATAACAGTGGAGAATAACATCCACTGAAAAGGGAGATGGCAACAAATCCTATACTTGGGTTGAGAACCTGAATATTCTACCACAGCAGACATTTTGGATACTTAGTGATCACTTGCACAACAGCTGAAATCATCTAACAAACTTTTCATGAGACCTTACTATGTATATTACTGGTCCTAGTTAGGGCCTGGAGATGTCATGATAAGTAGGAGGAAATTATTGGAGTAAAGTCTTAGGGAAATATTCTAGTTGCATCCACATTAGGCTGCTGTCTGTGCTTCTCACACTTGGGAATACTTATCTAGGCATGCAGTAATTGGAAGAGCCTTCTCACACCCGGAGAGGTGCAGTAAATACTTCGCTGCATTTTTGGGCAGATACAGTCTCCTTGAAGCCAACAGCTGAAACCTCTCACACACTGTCCTATCAGTAAACTATTGCATCCCACACCTAGGTATCCATCCAAGAAGCCTGTGCACACAGATGTTCCTAGTTTGTACCACTAGATGATTCTGACCAGATCTCACCTTCCCAAAGGGAAAATTCGAGGCTAGGACCTCCATGGCTTCTGGTCCCCATGGGCTCCCCTCTTCCTTCCAGTCATTTCCCTTCTCTGGGCTTTCACCTGGCTTCCCATAGTTGTTATAACACAGTATCTGACAAGATGATCACCACTTGGGTCTATTCCCCTTCTATCCACGTGGGTTCTCACCCTTGTGGCTCTCAACCCTGGCTTCTCATGAAAAGTCACCTGGGGGATGTTTTCACAATATCAAACTGGGAGCCTCACCTCAGACAGTGCTGAGAACCCCTGTCCTGTCTAATGTGATCTAACTGCCAGTGTATGACAATGTGATGACCCTGACCCAGAAGTTGTGAACAAAGTGAGGTGTCACCTTACCTCCTGGTCCAGGGTTTCAGGGCTTCCATCTCATGCTGGTTCTCTGAAAGCAGACCTCCTCACTTGAGGCTCCAATTGAATACCACTAATGCTTGAAGCATAGGTATGGGGTGTCTTTTTAGAAATGCATGTTTCTGGGCAGTCTGAACAAAATCTCAGGGAAGTGCCCAGGGATCTGGTAACAAGCTCCCAACTCCTGGGTTGTTCTTACACTAAACGTTTGAGAACATGGGGCTTAATGGGTGGAAGGGTACTGCTGAACTTTTCACTCCTTGAAAGATGCTCTAATAATACAGGTGGATTGGACTTTACTTCCTGTGTGTATAAAAGGAAGAAAAGAAGAGAGCATTTGCCCCTCCCCCACACTCCAAGTTACCTCTCTCCATCACCATTCAGTAATCCTGACTGTAGCCACTAGGTGGAGGAGAAATCCACTGGGAACAGGAGCATTGGGAAAGGGAGTTCAAGTCAAACTCCATGGAAGAATATTGCCTCAACTCTGAGCCTACCTCTGAAGATAACAAAATTAACTAAGTGTTCCATTAATTGGACATTAACATGACCTAAAGTGCCATGCTGAATCAGACAGGGAGAGATAGGGAGGCAATTATCTGGAAAACTTTAAAAAGAATTCAGACATGCTGTATTTTGTACCCACCCCATGATCTCATTCTTCTTTGCTTTGTGATGAGGCTCACCACACTTAGAAATGTTTAAAAACAATGGTCTTGAAGAAAAACTCTATAAGATATCTCATGAAATTGGAAATGAGTGCCCATCAAAGAAATTTATACTGAAAACTAAATAAATAGAGTAAAAATTTTGATTATCTGTAAGTCTGTTAACGTCAGCAGTAGTGATGGACTGGTAGGATTTTTCATTATAATCATCTGTACAATTTTTTTTCTCATTTGTTGATTGACTCTCAGAGGCCTTGCTGGAGATTTTGTGAGGGTGTGGTGTCCCAGAGGGTGTAGTGGCCCTCATTCTCCCACTGCAGGTCTTATTCAACCCTTATGGTGACACCATCATCACCGTGTTGCCAATGAGAAAACGAAGAGTGAGATGAGGAGGAGGAATGAATACAAGAACAGGAGAGGTATGGGTGAGGAATAGGGGAGGGAGGAGAAAAAGAGGAGAGGGGGCATCCAGACACATCTCCACCTTCAGAGCAAAGTTGGGATGAATTTGAATCCCTTTAAAAAAATTAACAAGTAACCGTGGAATTTTGCCTAGCTCCACCCCATCTCAAGATTGCTTTAAAGGGTGCTTGTGCCAAATCTCCTTCCCAAAACAGCATGCAGAATGGAAAGGGATATCTAAGATTTTTTAAATTGCTTTCATTTGAATTTGCAGATAATTAATTGTGTTAATAACTTTCACCTTAGTTCTCATTTGCTATCATGGCTGTGGCCTTCAGAGATCTTCCCAGATTTGCTCCTTG